TCCATTTAAAGAATTTTCTCCAAAAATTATTACAATAAAACTTACTTTACGACACATCCCGTGCATTTATCTTCGAAACAAAAAAGAAATCGTAATGATAACCCAGATAGAACAAGAGATATTGCTCCGGCATAATGGGAAGCACATGAAAATTGTCGTTTTGAGAAATCGAGAAAAAACGTGGGCACACATTTTTATTGCAGAAGATGCAACAAGACAACCTCAAAACGCACCAGAAGCATAGTCTGAATGCATTCTGTGCTCATGCCTCCTCTTCACTAGCTTCCGGAGTTCCAATGAGGCTGTTCTTTTCTTGTTGGAGACAATGCTGCGACGGTGGTCTTTTTCTCTCGCTCTCCTGGCACCAGTACTTGTCGCATTCATGTCCATTTCACCTAAGATTGCCGTTGCAGAATTCAAATTGCCCGTGTTGAAGCGCAGCACTGCTTCTGCAACAGCTGCTTCAACAGCGAACAGGGACGCATGGTGCTCCTTGGGGGCCAAACTCCAGATTACCGAATGTAGGCTCTCGTTGGAGTTCTGCGTTTTGCCGCGTTCGCACCTCTGAAGCAGAGCTCTTTCCGAAAGCCGGGTATAAACCGGTAGTAATGCCTCTGCCACGTCTTTCGGTAGATTGTAGGCATGCCTGGGGTCGGGCTCACCCTTTGCTTTTGCGGCATTGTGCCGACACCATGAAGTTTCACCAGCTGGGCACAGACTGTGGTCCGAGCATTCATCAGTGGAGGTGACGTGGCGGTATGTGGCCATCACAGCCTTTTGCATCTCGCCCACGTCACCTTCATGCGATTTCAGAGCCCGGCCATAATATGTGCTCAGCCTGGTGATCAGCTCACCTGTGAGCCTGCCTTTCCCACCAAAGCCTCTTTTCCCATCGCACTTTTGTTTCTGCACCAGGTTTCTCAATGCGGTGCCCATCCGTTTCTGTACATGATTAATACAGTCTTCCTTCTGCACGTCAATGTAACCATACACCTTGGCGTCTTGTATGGCGCAAAATTTCCTAGAGTCTCCATCAGACAGCATAGTTGTGTAGCGCAGGCCATGGCGTTCAAGCGACCTCTGAAATAGAATTAGAGCCGCCTCCACTTCCATTTGCCCCGCTTTGCTGTTCGTATTTTTTTGGCATTTGTGGTTAGCCTTCCATTCTTGATAGCCCTCACTACTAGGCTTTGGGCCCACCTCGCAGCCTAGGCAAAAGTTGGAAAGAACGACGTAGTCCAACACGTAGCCACTAAATAATTCGATAACTGTGCCCACGCCGATGTGGGAAGAATGGCCTCGCATCTTCCACCTGCCGTCGTAGCTAACAGCAATATTGCCCCGGTGGCCGAAGCACAAATCATCATAAATTGTTCTAACCTTTTCCACACATTCGCTCATAGCGGACTCAGCCGCTCGCGTTGCAGCGGGTGCCAGCGTGTTCTTCAAATGCCGCTGAAACGTCTTGTGGTGCATACCGCGGTGTGAGATGCCCATTGTTGCGAAAATATCGTTCATTTTCGTTTGGCCGTTGCCGGTAGCCACCATCGCCCTCGAAGCGAGAAGATTTACTTCAAACGGATTGCACGTTTTCGTGCCGTTCGCGCGGGGCGAAGTCCATTCATTCGCGATCTCGCCGCACCTTTCACACTGCACTAGCACTTTCACGGCAAGTCCGTAGTCCCGATCCCCTCTGACGATCGTAGCCGGTCCGTGGCAGGCTTTGCAACACAAGGCACCCATTATCGCGTTTAGGATATCTAGATGCATAAGCAGATAAGGAGCAGCGTGGTCCGAGTCCTGTGCGGTTGCCTCGCTACAACTCGCGGTGAAAAAGTCAATTTTCCGTGCAGTTGCGGGCGCCGATGAAAGCCAGTCGAGCGTCGCTTTCTCCCGGGCATGATTTTCTTCAACTTCGGCGTTTGTCACCACCTTGGCGTCGATTCGTAGTCGTCCGGAGTTCGCTTCACCGTCATCGTCGTCGGAGGCAACGCGCTCGGTCGCACCATCGCTGAACGGCCGCGGAGCGTCGACACATCGTTCGTCGGAGTCAACCAAGGGCTCTGATGACTTCGTAGACTTTCTCCCACGACCTTTGCGTTTCCTGCGACCAAATGCGTGCACGGTCCGATACTTTTTTGCGTTTCCAGGCATGGCGATACGATCAGAAGCTTCAGAGTGCTCTGCCGATTTCGAGGCGTCACAGCGGTAACCCTTTCAAAATGGCGTCGGGTCGCGTATGCAGGCGCAAGCCGCGAGCTTCCAGCCAACCGGAAAGCGCCATTTCAGTCACGTGCGCCGTTTAGCCAATGGCAGTGAGCGCGGCTCTTCGTCTTTGAGGCCCCGTTTTTCGAGCCGGGGAAACGCTCAATGTTGCTTACTGAATAAAAAAAAAAAACAGCTGAAAACGCGTTCTTTCAAACAAGACCAAAATGGCGCCGATCTAGCGCGTAGTTCCCGCGTATCGTAGAGCCGAAACCTGCGCTATTCGCCCTCAATTTAAAGGGCAGGACGCCCGTTTTCGGTTCTTTAAAGTTGAATAACGATAAAAGTTGATGGTATTCGGCTATGAAATTTTGTAAATAGGTGCGCAATGATGTCGGGAACGCGAAAAGAAGGTCCGCGAAAACTCGATTTTTTGGCTGATTTTCGGTCCCGAAGTGCCGCGTCCCCCCTTAAAGAAAGTCTATTTTGCCCTCCCTGTCCCTAAACCCCAGTGCTTTTAAAAACTCTGCGCCACCATCCTGAACTATAGGGTGAAGCCCTTTACAGAACATTATCAAGTGTTCGGCAGTCTTCTTCTTCCTCTCCACACGCACTGCATACCGTGTCTACCCCTTCATATTTGGCCCGATATGTCTTAGTTCGCAATACTCCCATCCTGGCCTCAAACAGTAGAGAACTACCCCGAGTATTATCATAGATCCTTTCCTTGGCAATATCCTGCTTAAAAGTTCGATCATCTCTAGTGCGGACTTCTTAATCATGCCGATTCTCCACAGATTAGTCTCGGCTTCCTTCACCTTCTTCTTGACCGATAATTCTTTTTGGTTTGGCCCCCTGCTGTTTTCTAAGTATTTACCAGTCAATTTTCTGGTTCGCTTCCTCCATTTTATATTGACATTCTTTATGTACAAGTATCTGAATACCTTCCTAGCCCAACGCACCTCCCCCATTTCTCGCAATCACTTCTCAAATTTTATTTTGCTGCTAGCAAGATAAAGCAGCCCATGCTAAGGTGGCGCCATCTCGCGGCTGTCGATACCAACTGCATTAGCAACGGCTCCTCCCTGAACACACTACCCAATATTCTAGAACACTATAGCGCCGTCGATTTCGCCGGCAGAATAGGCTGCTGTTTCCCAGTCGTGACTCGACCGCGGTTGGGCGTTCGAATTAACCGAAGTGCGGCCAAATTTGTCCAAATTAATGAGAATTTTCAGTCATAGAAGAATGTACATTTTGGACGGGACCAGATGCCATGGCTGAATTAACGGGGGTCGAATTAACGAGATTTTACCGTACATTTCTTTGGTGGCTTATACAAAATAGATAAGGCATGAACACAGAATAAGATAATAAATTCGCCTTCAGTGCTAGGAGGGAAAAGCTGAATTTAAGCTTATTAGCACATGCATAGCAAGGTATCGAGTTTAATTCCTGATGACATCTCATTGATGACCTCGGTGCAAAGTTATTTATATACCGTAATCACTTGAATCTAACGTGCACCTTTTTGCCGGTTAAGAGAGTTCATAAATCGCATGCGCGTTAAAATCGAGTACGAAAAAAAAAATGAATATGGTCATTCTATTGCCATCGCCACTTACAAAATGGCCACCTCCTACGTACGTCGGCATGGCACGTCGGTCATTTCTGCCTATGTGTTTCCCATGTGCGGCACTTCATACGTGTGCTGAGGAGTTCGTCATCTTGTAGTACATTAGCATCGACGGCATGGTAGGGCCGACTCCAAAAACTCGACGATTGCACCACAATGCTGCTTCTAAAAGAAAAGTCATCGCGTGTGCCGAAATGGACATAAATCGGGCCGCATCGCGGTCATTCGGAGTTCCCAAAACGTGCGTGCGGGACTGGCGGAAACAAAAGCAGAATATTGTCGACAGCAAAGATTCACGCAAAGGCTTCAGTGGACCACAGCAGGGTCGGTTTCCACAAATTGAAGAGCTGCTCGGCGAGTATGTGATTAAGCAGTGAGCAGCACAGCGGCCCGTGACGACAGAACTGCTCCAAGTGCAGACTATGCAGTTAGCCTTAGAAAAAGGGCTAATGCAGAGCCAGTTTAAAGCGAGCAGGTGCTGGCTAACTAACTTTATGAAGAGGAAAGGCTTTTCCCTCCGGAGGCGAACGGGCATATGCCGGAAGTTGCCAAAGAAGTACGAAGAAAAGCTTCAGAGTCTTTAGAGGTTCCTCCTAAACTTTCGGCACAACAACGGCTACCTGCTTGGGCAAATCAGGAATGCCGATCAGACGCCTCTTTACTTCGACATGCCTGGCACCACAACCGTCGAGGAGAAGGGGTCGAAGCAAGTTCGTGTACTGACATCGGGCCACGGTAAAACTAGAGTGACAGCAATGCTTCGTTGCACGTCAGATAGGCATAAGCTTCCCCCGTACTTCATATTTAAACGGAAGACGCTCTCAAAAAGAGTCGTTTTCCCGAGTGGTGTGATCAAGTGGGCCAACGAGAAAAATGGGTGCGCGTTGCAATCGATGTCTTAGTTTTCTTTTTTGTCGTGGAAACCGGGCACGCGTTACAATCGAGGGCGCGGTACAATCGAGTAAATACGGTACGTTGTCATTTGAGTAACTGAACAACCTGGCAATGCAGGGTAGAAAGTTTCGCAGTATTCTCAAACAGCCACTATTAAAGCTAATGAGAACCTTTGCCCATGATGGGCTTGTTTGTGGAGTTACTGTAAGTGTGTAGCGAACATTTTCTTCCTTCACTTGTTTCAATCTTGTTTCAATCTTTTTAGGAGCCGAAGTCCACGAGATGCAAGACTACACCACAGCTATGAGCGGCAACGTGATGAAAAATGGCGTGAAGAATGGCCACGTGAGGAAAGGGTTCGGGATGAAAGATCTCGTGACGACAGGTCCCGTGAGGACAGATCACGTGATGACAGGTTCCGCGATGATAGACGAGATGACAGGTCCCGTGAGGATAAACTGCGCGATGACCGGTTCCGTGAGGAAAGGTCACGAGATGATGGATCGCGTAGTGACAGGTCACGTGAAGACAAGTCTCGAGATGATCGCATGCGAGATGATAAGTTGGAACGCCGTAAAGAAAGCACAAGCCACCGTCATCGTTCCAGCCCCGAACACAGTAGGCATAAAGATCGCTCCCGAGAGCATACCTCCCACAATCACCGAACATCATCGCGAAGGGAGCGTTCCTTTTCACCCGTGGCCAGGAATCATCACAAATAAATCTGTTTGTGCTTTGCTTGCCTCCCTCCCCTTTTTTTTTTTCACTGCAGAATTTTGGCTGCTTGAAAGTCTTTGGCTATTCATACATTATTTTTCCTTTTATTGTTTCATTTCTCGTGCAACATACTGCTCTAAATGTGTTGTAGTGGTTTATAGTAAATCGATTGATGTTATTGTTTTGTTTTAAGTATCCTGAGTTTGAACAAAGGTAATGTCTGTAATAGTCATGGAGGAAGGAAAGCGTAGGAGAGGCCCTCGCAATGAAAGCTGCAGAGCAAAAAGTGAGGCGGAAGTCATGTGCTTTTGCACGGGGGTTGTGGGAATAGCTGGGCACGCCAGCGTCTCATGCCTGCATCACCGTCTGCATCACCACTCGTATGACCGTGTTGTTGATTGCCGGCTGGAGTTGTGAATGTGCATTTTTATGCAGCTATTGCACTTCAAAGATTTGTGGCGCCAAGGGCTATGTTTTCCAGCAATACCTGGTCACAATTTTGCCACAAACAAGGGGGAATTCCCGGCCTAGCCCCTGTCACCGAAAAAAATATAAAAAACGTGATCAACTAAAATGTGTACCTGTGAAAAAACCGACTTTTTCACCGCAATACAGTATTGACATGCAGGAAGCATGTCGCCTGCTTGTAGCTGCGCCAGCACGTCATGATGTGACCATTCACCCATTCTTTTTGGTAAAAAAATTATAAACGGACAGTGTGATGAAATTCGCGACGTGTTTTGGCTGAAAAACATCACTATTGATGCTTTCGGCCTGAGTTTTCAAAGTAGGTGTCGCAGGCAAGAACTCCGCCAGCAGTGCAAGTGCTCAATTCGATAAAGCAACCGGCACTCGGAGGTTCGCATACATCACAGATTTCTCCAGACAGACCTTTATTAATTTCTTCAAATTCGCAGAAAGAATAATTAAATCGTGACGCACTGACGTTGCGCCCGAAATCTGCTCGTGCGGCTCTCCTCCCTTTCACTGGCGCCCATTGCAAATGCGCAAGCCACCGTAGCGTGCCCACCATTGTGAGGAGGAGTCCTCTACTCTTCCCTACTTCCGGCTTCACAAAATATGACGTAACCACCTCTTCTCAGTACATTCCTTCCTCCATAGTAATAGTGAGCTTGTCTGGGAACATGTAACATCATCAACTGCCAAGAAGGTACAGTGTTGAATCTAATGTCTAAATGCCGATGCTTTGTAACATGGTTTTGTATTCATATTCAGTTGGAACATGCAGACAATTTTGTTGTGTACTTTAAAGGAAAAAAAAGTGTATTTAGATTCAGCTTAATGCAGTATGGTCATTCTTAATCTCGTAATATAGAAGATTTTTTTCTGTACACTGTAGGGCTGATAACCTTGTGTGAGAACATGCAAATGTTTGTGCCCTACACAAGACTTCAGCCATTTTATTTTTTGTTTTGTGATAAGTAATCAGGCCTGTTCAGATTTTTTTCTGTAACCTGTAGGGCTGATAAGCTTGTGTGAGAACATGCAAATGCTTGTGCCCTACACTAGACTTCAGCCATTTTATTTTTTGTTTTGTGATAAGTAATCAGGCCTGTTCAGATTTTTTCTGTAACCTGTAGGGCTGATAAGTTTGTGTGAGAACATGCAAATGTTTGTGCCCTACACTAGACTTCAGCCATTTTATTTTTTGTTTTGTGATAAGTAGTCAGACCTGTTCAGAAGATTTTTTTTCTGTATACTGTAGGGCTGATAAGCTTGTGTGAGAACATGCAAATGTTTGTGCCCTACACAAGACTTCAGCCATTTTATTTTTTGTTTTGTGATAAGTGGTCAGGCCTATTCATCACAGCTCATGGATGCTTATAAAGAGTATGTACAATTTGGTTAATATGATATATATGTGGCAGACAGTTGTAAGTAATTTTGTAAAAATAAGCAGTTCTTCTTGGCATCACATTTCATTTCTTAGCATCACATTTAATTTCACTTGGAGCTGTTTCATTGAAATCACCTAATGTATAGAAGTCATATCCATTTACTGTTAGACATGTGTGCCCCTGAGACTTATTCTGCTCTTCAGCAATTAATGCATTATAGCTGACTTATGGCTTTCTTGAAAAATGGTTCTTAAATTTGTTGATATGTTATATTTTTAGGCAAAAGGCAATGCAGCTAATTTTGTTTTCATTCATGTTGATCATTACTTACATGAAGAAACTGTCTTTTTATTTCTAGTGTCTTGTTTTCGTGTCTCGTAGTTTCCTACCAATCTCTCTCTGTGGATGAGGTTCTCACCAAGCTGCCTTTGAAACATGCACTTCATGTGGAAATATGCTGCAAATACGAAGTTCGTTTTGGTTACTCTATCCACATCTGCTATGGCTGTGTCTTCACTATATGTTACTTCTAAGCTTATGTATGTCTTGGGGTTTGTATTCATCTGTTTTCAGATAAAGCCTGTTCTTACCATTGATATCGCCCTATATGTACACTTTCAAGGAAAAGTTTGCAGAGCGAGACATTTTTTAAAAAGCTACATTAGTAACATTACCACTTTGGAGATATGGCCTCCATAGCAGTTCTTGCGGCCTATGCAGTTATTTGAAAGACCAGTAGCATTACATAACACAACACCAACAAAGCAGAAAATAAAATTTGCTGTGAAGCCCGTGTCTTGTAAACTTTTGTAGCTGGGTGTATATTTAATATATCTCTCTGTGATAAGTGAATCCAAGAGACAATTAGGCCAAGGAAAGCGTACGGTACATAGTCTTCAGCTGTATGGTAGTAATCATTACGAAACTGGAAGCAAGTAAAACTGACAAAAGAAATTGCCATTTTTGTCAGTGAGATCTGAAGGCAATACCTTTGAATTTTGCATCCGATGCTCGACCAATTGAGATACGGATGGTGGAAAATGCTTTCCCATCCACTTCGTTGGGCATATCTGTGTGTGTAATTCCTGGGGATTTCAGCCAGTGCCCCTTGTGGCTAAGGTGGCAAGTATGAGATTTTTTGCCAGAGGGCATCATTTGGCACATGACACCCTCCGGCTTCATTCATTTGGTTGTCGAACGAACAAGCAATCTATTGAAAGAAACCCTTGTTCTGCACGATAATGTTCCTAGCAATTACACACAAGGTGCTCAGCTATAGGCACCACACTACTTCGCACACGCCTGTTCATTGCAAGCACTTTGATATATTATTTCACTTGAAATCAAGCTAGTGCATCACTGTAAAAAAAAAAAGCAGGAAAAAATTACGAAGAAAAGTGCACACTCTATACATGAATCACCATCATTCTTTATGCCATGCACAGTGCATACCTGCCAACTCTCCCAAATGGTCCGGGAGACTCCCGAATTTCGACCTAATCTTTCGATTGTACGAATGCTATCTCGAATCTCCCGAAATGGGGTCGCCACGTAAGCAAAGGCTTTTTTTTTTTTTTTAATGGCGCGTGTACGTCAACCTTACCTGCTGCAATAGTTGCGGCGCTGTGGAAGAGCACTCTCTACTGCACATCTAGTTCACTGTAACCACACCGCAGGGTACCGTTAAGTATATTCTAGGCACTCAAGAACCGCGCATCTGGGCGAAGGCCGGTGGCCGCGAGACCCGCTCACCACCGTACCGAAAGAAAGCGAAGGGAAAGGTACTGGAACTATGGCATCTGTCTGCCCTGGCTCTCGCATTTCGCACGCCAAGCCTTTATGCCGCTTGCATGCCTAAGCGTCAGTTGCTTTACGTGGTTTTGGGGGTTGTGTTTCCCCGAGTTCAGATATGGAAGGTCGATGGTGGTGTCAAAAGCAAATAATTACTTGCAAGTGTGTCTGGACTCGTGCACAACTGATTTTTCATGCTTTTTGACTTGGCAGAAAGGTATCAAGTACATATTCTGTATCACGTGCGCCTCTGATGTGTTTTGCACGGCAGCAAGGCCAACGTATCTCTTCACAGGAGCATCGGAACTATGTTCCTGCTGCTAAAGGGCAGGACAACATTGGAAGTTTCTTCCAAAAAAGCTGCGAAGACAATGTGATGCGCGCAGACTCCCTATTCGCGAGATTTCATGTGAAACATGACTTGATGCTAAGCGTAAGTGATCACGCTGGACTGTTGTTTCGAAAAATGTTCCCCTAGTGTGCGGATGCGAAGTATTACTGGTGCATACGTACGAGAACAGCTGCCACGTCTGGTAAATGGCTGGAGATTCCGAAAATACAATGTATGGAGGCTCTGAAACGCCATGCTTTTGTAGTTGCAGAGTACGTAAGCAGCAATAGCGTGTCGCAAATGTCTGTCTCGATAATTTCTGACATGCAAAAATAAACTCTAGCGTCAGTTTTCCGAATTTTCATGCTGCTTAGTTGGCGGGTATGGCAGTGATGCAAATGCTTGTCTATTTACCAAGTGTCGGTGCAAGTGAGTGTGATTTGGTATAGCCAACCAAATTTCACACCTGAAATCGATCAAGTTTCTGGGATTTTTGTGTCAGAATCATAGCTATGCTGTATGTCATGCGTTAGTGGTGGACTACACTTACTTTACCCATCGTGATGCAAGAAGGCATCCATGTCCCTTTTCATGATGCATTCTCAGCAGCCGTGATCAGTGGCTGTATTTTGTTCTAGACATGTATCATATACTACAATACCTGCCTAGCACGAACTTGGAAATTGTTATTACGAACTATGTCAGATTTTCTTACACTACGCTTTAAATGCACAGTTAGGCCCCAACCGATCTACCGTCGTCCGGTGTTCACTCTCTCTGTCACTACATCGTGTCAGAAGTGGGATGCGGGTGATTTTGAGACAGACTAGGACGCGTCACGATTTGAATTCGGCTGCGCTCAACTGCATCGGTCGCCAAAGCGTCAGTCTGTGCCGAGCCATGAATGACACCAGCGCTGCGACGAGGTCACCCACGGTGGGCTCGGCTACTGGCTCCAACGCAGCCTCTCCGCCATATCCGACAGGACATGCACAGCTGCATTCACCACCACTGTTCGACTTTGAAAATTTTGGTTCCTGGCCAACGTTTCTTCTACAGTTTGAAAACTGCTACTAACACAGGACTATTAGCCTGGTGCGCGACCAATGGCGGCGGTGCGAACCGCGCTTGTATTACGTCAGTTCTAGGATTCGCGCGCTTTCGAGGCGCGGCGCCGTAGAGACACTAACGTCGTAGTAAAACTCAACAAAGAAGCAGTTCAATTGGTTATCTCGTGTGTGGTGACTATTGATGCTGTTCTAATGACCATGGGTGTCCACTTTCAATGCTCATTTTAAAAGCCGAGCGTTTTGTTTCTTAAAACTGCGGCTTCTTGTCTCCACGGCGAGTTCTGCATCTGCAATGAAGTACTGCTCTTTGTCTTTATATGATCACCTACCGTGAATAGGACGTGAGCTTTCGCAACTATCCTAGGGACCCGAAGCTAAGGAAGAAGTGTATTGTCAAACTCGGAAAGGGAAAGCGCCCCACTCCTTCATCGACTGTGTGCAGCAAGCACATCGCTGACAGTGACTTTTGCTATACCCACCCTACGCGCCACTCATCGCTAAGCTTGCGCCTCGCCAGTGCTTCAGTCATTCATTGCACGCAAGCTAGAAGCTTAGGCGACTTGCACCAGGTGAGGTGCCGTCCCAAAACCTCCGGCGAAGCCCCAAGACACGGAGCCGCGGCCTCTGAATAGCCTCGGGTAAGCGCACCTCGCGAGCACAGCTGAGTGGCGCAGGACATCTGAGACAGCCGCATTATTTGGTTAGTGTACGTATGTACGACTGTACAGTGTCAATTTTTATGAAAGGGAACGCGTGGCCTGCGCGCTTCGGCGGCTGCTGGCAGCGCGTTCAAGCGAGAGCAACCGCAGTCCCTTTTCGCGTCATCCCGCGGCGAGGAAAACAACCGTTCGTTGCTGATATGGAACCAGCCGCAGGATTGCAACCCCTCCTCCTTAAAGGCGATTACGCGAGAGCCGGTGATCGCCTTGAAGAAGAGAGGGGTTGCAATCTTGCCGTTCTATATCAGCAATGATTGCTTGTTTTGCTCGCCTCGAGATGATGCGAAAAAAGACTGTGGTTGTAGGGTTCCTCGATGCGCACACCCCCTTTGCCGCCTTGGAGGGTGGAGACCACCGCGTCGTCTACTACGGAGTCCGCCATTACGATGCCTTCTCCGCAAGCCACGACGGCCAGCCAACGAGTGTTCCGCGGCTACATACAGAGTTTGTTGCGTCAGAACGTGTGGTACTGAGACAACGTGAGAGAAATACAAAATTTTTGCATCAGGAGTGTGAAGGTCTTAGATTTATAGCCCGTAGTATTCATTTTTAAAGCTACACTAGCAGCTGTAGTTGCTCGCAGCAGAGAAATGCCGTTGACGCCAGCTGCGTTAACATCTTCAATTAGCGCCTTTTTGGACTAGTCGGTAACTATTTATATAGGGTAAGGATGTGAAACACACGCACCTAAGTCACATTACCTTTCAATGTGTGTTTGTTGTGTACCTTCTACAAAAGTGTAAAGACAGTTTTTCATTTGCCAGTTGACCGAAAAAAAGAATAAAAAGTATGTGCTGTCTTGTGAAACGAGAAAAAAATCACAGTATATTCACGGAGTGAATGATGATGAGTGGGGTGAAGTGTCCATTCGTGCGTCCATCCGTGTGTCCGTACGTGCGTCCGTCTGTCCAGCATAGCCAGGGAGCACAGCATAGCATGGACGGACGAACGAATCGACGCACAGACGGATGGACGACCAGACGCAGGAACGAATGAATGAATGGACGATCGCAGCGACGGTTGCACGCACGGGTGAACGCAGGGACGGACAGATGCATGGATGGTCGGATGGATGCACAGATGGACAGACACACGGACGAACGCACGTACGGACGGTCGGAAGGACGGGCGGACGCACGGAAGGATGGACGCACGGAAGCACGGACAGACTCCAAGGGGGCGTGCGCATCGAGGAACCCTACTGTGGTTGCTCTCGTTCCTGCTTGAATGAGCTGCCGCATAAAGCAACATTTACAGATACTTTTTCAGTTTTCCAACTCCTCCTTTCGAGGCGGGCATGATTTGCTCCAAGGGAGTGTGAGGGCTATGCAGTCTAACTTAGCGCCAAGTAACCGGCTGCTTCCCACTGGCTTCACTGCCGCTGCAGTTTCGTGCGTTCCGTGCCGGTGTTCGGTCCCACTTTTTTTTCTGTGTGCATGTCTCGTCGCATGGCATGCTTCCACGGTCATCTGAAGACAATTCGACTCCTACAGTCACTAAGATGGACATTCACGACGTAGGAAACTGTCCAATTGTTGACATCGAGGGCACGATCTAAGCATTGACCACGTGTGGACGCATCGAGCACGTCTGTATGTCTCCCGAGGTTCATTTTACTGTTGCTGCTATCCCGTGCGCCATAGCTCAGACCCTCAAGACATCATAACGATGTGTTGTGTGACCGGGCGCACAACCGAGTAGAGGAAAAGCCCTTAAAAACGCCACTTCTCCCCGCCGTCTCACCCACGCTGTTACTGCAGAATTGGGGAAAATCCATGGAAAAGTCAGAGAAAGACGCGCAAGGTGGACAATGTTTACTTTTAAGAAAGCGGCATCCTGAAGACACATAGGCATATAATAAATGAAGTCCGAACCCA